AAGTTCAGCATTCAAACACAGAACCTGATTAAAACACTGAGAAAGCAATTAGATGAATTAGATTCCTTTACAATTTGGAAAAGGCAAAATTTAGTTAAGAATGAAATACAGAGACCCAATATTAATTCCATGAAAAGGCTGGCAAAATATTTGAAAAATAGAAAGGAAAAACAGAATATTAAGGCTATAAAGACGCAAGGGAACAAAATAATTCATAATTCTGCTAAGATAAGAGAAGAATTTGCCGCATTCTACCAAAGATTATACAGGGAAGATAATAAAGGTCACATGGAAGAAAGTCTAGATGTAAGGTTAGGAGAGGAGGACAAACAAACTTTAAATGCTGAGATCACAGAACAGGAAATAAAGGAAGTGATAAAGAAACTGAAAAAATCAAAATCGCCGGGTCTGGATGGTTTTCCAGCTGAATTTTATAAAGAATTTATAGAAATATTAGGCCCTGAATTGCAAATGTTATTTAACAATATAATGAGAGGAGAAAAAGCCCCTAATACATGGAGGAAAGCTGAAATAAGAGTATTATTGAAACCTCAGAAGGACCCAAAAGAAACAGGCTCGTATAGGCCAATCAGTTTATTAAACCAAGATTACAAAATTTTCGCCAAAATTTTGGCAAATAGATTGGAAAAAATAATACCAAAAGTGATAAAAGAGGACCAGTATGGATTTGTGAAAGGGAGGCAAATTGGACACCCAATCAGAAATATAATAAATATAATGGAACATAGGCAGGGAAAGAAATTAGCATTACTAAAATTGGATATATATAAGGCTTTTGATACAGTAAATCACGAATTTTTGTGGGAGACACTGAACAAAATTGGAATAGGAGAACCAATTATAAAGGCAATAAAGGAGTTATATAGAGAAAGCAAAGCTGTGGTAAGAGTTAATGAAGCCTTATCAAAGGAATTTTCCATTCAAAGGGGTGTCAGGCAAGGCTGCCCCCTGTCACCACATCTATTTATAATGGGGATTGAGATTCTAGCAGAGAGAATTAGAAATAGCGTAAGGATCGAAGGTTATAAATTTGATGATGGAGGGGAAATTAAATTAAATTTATTTGCTGATGATATTATGATGGTTTTATCCCAACCTCTAATAGGAATAAGAGAATTAAAAATTATATTAACAGATTTTGAAAAAAATACTGGATTGGGGGTAAATATAAAGAAATCAGAAATTATGTATTTTGAGGTAAACAAAAAAGAAAAAAGAGAAATTGACAATATAACAGAAATAGGTATGGGGAGGACAAAAATAAAATATTTGGGTGTAATTATACATAAAAATATGGAAAAGATGACAGAGATCAACTATAAACAGACATGGAAGAAAATTTTTAATAGTATGAAAAATTGGAATAAGAAAAATCTGGGTATCTTAGGAAAAATAAAGGCAACTAAAATGTTTTTGACACCAAAATTATTATACCTATTTCAAGTCCTTCCATTGGAAATCAAACAAGGACAATTTAATAAGTGGAACAGGACTATAAAGAAATGGATATTAGGAGAAAAGAAATCTAGACTGCCAAATAAACTATATTATATACATCAGGAAGAACTGGGGTGGGGAGTTCCAAATTTGGAATTATATTACGAGGCTTTTCAGCTAAAACCTTTACTTGAAAATATGAAAGAAAATAGGGATAAATGGTTTAAGATTGAAGATGGAGTTAATAAAAGAGAGGCAAGCTTTGGAATCTTTACAGGGAATTTGGAAATAAACATCAAAAGAACAAGAGGCCCCAGAAAACTTGCATTAAAAATTTGGAAAAAATGGAAACCTAAATTAATGCCAGGAATATCAAAATGGACCCCGCTTGAGAGCCTTTACAAGAAGGAGTATGATTCGTGCTGGTGGAGAGAAATGAGGGACAAGGGATACTATAGGATTAAAGACTTATATGATATGAATGGCCATCTTATTCCTATAAGCAGAATAATAGATAAAATGGGAAACAAAAATTGGATTAAGATACTAGGATTATATAATAAATTGAAACAGGGAAAGTATGGAGATTGTATAGGTAAGGAAAGTATAATGGAAGATATAATTAAAAAAACACAGATATCAGAGAAAGGGTTAATCGGAGAAATATACAGAGGAATGATCAGAGATGAGGAATATATTATAAGAACACTGCAAAATAAATGGGAAAAAGAGGGATTACTCACAAGACAAATAATAGAGGACTTAATAAGAGAGGCTAGGAAAATCAAGATAGAGAAATTCAAAGAAATGGAAAGGAAATTCTTATGGAAATGGTATTGTACCCCAGCACAGTTATCAATCATGATTAACGGTAAAAGCCCAACTTGCTGGCACTGTGGCCTCAGCAAAGGATGGTATGCACATATGTGGTGGGAATGCCCAAAGGCAAAAACATTCTGGAAACAAATAACAGGTAAAATGGAGAAAATATTTAAGATACCACTGCAAATAAATATGGAGTTGATGTTCATGGGGATATTAGGATGCAGGAAGATTGATCCAAAATATCAGGATCTACTCAAAGCAATGATTCTTGCAGGGAAGGCTGTAATAGCTTGGGGATGGAAAGATGCAAAAAAATGGGATATGGTTAATTGGAATAATTATTTGTTTGACCAGGTCCAATCAGAAATTATTGCAATTGCAACCGGTGAGGCTATGAAGGAAGATAAAATGAGGAAAATTAAAGAGAAATGGTTCATATATTCGGAATGGATAAAAGGAGGCGAAGCCAATGTAAATATTGTACAGAGATGGGAAAAGCTGAGCTCATGGATGGAGTTAGAGTTTTAAAGGAAATGTGGTATGGGTTTGGGGAGGGGGAGGGAGGCGGGGGGAGGGAAAAAAAGTGAATGAACTCAGTTATACTAGACAAGTGAGTGGACATTATTGAATGAAAGAGGTGGAAATAATGGAAGGGTGTAGAGAAATGTGATTATTGACATCTTTCATGTATTAATTGTATAAACCCACTCATGAAACAAATTATCAATAAAGAAAAAAAAAAAGAGCACCCTTGGGCAAAATCAACTATACTGCAAATGCTTACTTTGCGTAATGGGTTGAGCCGCCCCTGGGTACCAAAGATCTTTCCATGAGTACCCACACTTCAGGAATTTGAGGGAGAAACTGTTGCTGACCTAGACCTTTGCTAGATCTTTCACCTTCAGCCAAATCACTCTTCAGCCAATTTCTCTTAGCATCTCCTATTTAAACTACGTTCTTATCTTTAACTAAATAGAATCATATCGTTGAAAGAGACCACATGGGTAATCTAATCTAAACCCCTGATATGCAAGTGAATCAAAGTGCCCTAACAGATGACCATCTATTCTCTGTTTTAAAGCAAAACACTACACTTTGAGGCAGAGAGTTCCACCGTTGAACAGCTCTTATGGTCAGGAAGTTCTTCCTAATGTTCAAGTGGAATCTCCTTTCCTGTCATTTGAACCCATTGCTTCATTAAGTCCTAACCTTCAGGGCAGCAGAAAACACACTTGTTATAGGGAGGAGTCCTTAGGACAGCCTTTCAAATATTTAACCATGGTAATCATGTCTTCTTTCAACTTTCTCTTCTACAAGCTAAAAATACCCAGCTCTTTAAGTTGCTCCTCATAGGGATTAATGATCTCCAGACCTTTTATTGTTTTAGTTGCTGTCATCTGGACACCTTTGAACCTGTCAATATCTCTTCTAAATTGTGGTGTCCACAATAGGACACAGTATTCCAGGTGAGGTCCAATCAAAGCAGGATAGAGAGGCACCATGACTTCCCGTGATTTTGACATTATACTCCTTTTGATACAGCCCAAAATCCCATTGGCATCACACTGTTGGCTCATGTTCAACTTGTTGTCCACTAAGACTCCAAGATCTTTTTCACATGGACTGTTGTTGAGTTATGTATCACCCTCCTGTGTGCATTTTACAAGTTTGATTGTCACTCATGGCAGAGTATGATTTCATTCCAAGTGTAGGGTCTTGGCAGTGGGTCCGTAGGTGACTATAGACCTAATAGGAGTTTGTTTGTGTACATATATACTCTGTTAACTACTATCTGACCCACATAAATACATGGTTTAAAATAGATTGGAAAGAAGCATCATCCAATATATGTTTATACCTTCTCAGACCAATTAAAGTAAATTTCTTCATTTGAATAATAAGCAACGTTCTCACACAGATTTTTCCAGTATCACAATACATAAGGTAAGCTTTAAAATTCACACACACTACTGTTTCTCCATACTTGTCAATGGCTGCAGACAGTCAAACACAGGGCCATATGAAGACCTTCAGATTTTAATGGCCTCATAGAGATCTAATTCAAAATATAAATAATAATAAACTGTAAAATAAAAAAATGAAACAAACCAAATCTTACTGTAAATTGGAAGATGGTGTTTATTTCTGTACATTTTATGTACTTTTGTATATGTCATATTGAAGAGCTTGTTTTCTGCTACTCTGGAGACTAGAACATGGAACAATGGATTAAAATTGTAGGAAAAGTGATTCTGCCTAGACATGAGGAAGAATTTCCTGAAAAGTTGAGCTGTTCAACAGTAGAATATACTCGCTTTGGGGTGTGGTGGAATCTTCTTCTCTGGAGGCTTTTAAGCAGAGGCTAGATGATCATATGTTAGGGGTGTTTTGATTCATTGTTGAAGGCTTTCATGGCTGGAATCACTTGGTTGTTTTGAGTTTTCCAGGCTGTATGTCCATGTTCCAGAAGCATTCTCTCCTGATGTTTCACCTGCATCTAAGGCAGACATCCTCTGAGGTTGTGAGGTTTGTTGGTTTGCATCAAAAGACCCTTGGATCTTTTGCACTTTTTTCATCACATCAAGAGATTTAAATGTTTTGTAAAATTCTGCAATAAGGAAAGTTAAATAACCTTGTAATCTTATTAAATTAAACCAGATTTTGCAATGGGCCCTTGGAGTTGAGAGTGGACTAAGCATACGTATGTTCTCTTGAAGGACTGTATTGATTTCTTCCTATTGTAAGAAACCATGGCAAAGAGAATAGCAGTTGTTGGTGCCGGTGTAAGCGGACTAACATCCATCAAAGCCTGCCTAGAAGAGGGACTTGAGCCCACTTGTTTTGAGCAAAGCAACGAGATTGGAGGACTTTGGAGATTCACAGTAAGTAGAAATCCTTATTATGAAGTAAAAATCCTTATCACTTGAATGTGACTTTACGGGAGTTTTCTTCTGCAAAAAATGTCTAGTGCAGTGGTTCTCAACCTGGGGTCCCCAGATGTTTTTGGCCTACAACTCCCAGAAATCTCAGCCAGTTGACCAGCTGTTAGGATTTCTGGGAGTTGATGGCCAAAAACATCTGGGGACCCCAGGTTGAGACCCACTGGTCTAGTATGTTTTGCCCCCCAGTATATATGTAATTTGAACATAAGAAGATCTATGCGAGACCAGACTAAATATCTGTCTATTACAGCATTTTAGTCACAAAGTGGCTGGCCAAATGCTTGCAATTAAAACATGAAATCAATTACCAGCAGCCGGTAATGAAATGCATGATACTATGTTATATAACTGCTATGATTAGCGGCCACATTGCACAACTGCTTTTGGATGAAGTTGTTCATTGAAGCCAAACTAGATATGACATTAATTACAGGAAAGTATTTTTAAAGGTGTGTAGTTTGCACATTACAATTAGCATAAATTGGCCTTAAAGTGAGTTTTAAGCGGAAATTATCAAAGTAATTTTGTGTTTTCTTTTGGGAGCCCAGAGAAGTTTTTTTTTTTTTAAAAAAAAAGATTACAACTATGAGCAGAGAGCCAGTGTGCTTTGGTGGTTTGAGCTCTGGACTTTGACTCTCGAATTTCTGCTTTGCCAGTGGTTGACTTTGGCAAGTCACACTCTCTCAGCCTCAGAAAGTAGGCAGTGGCAATCTCTTCTTTGGAGTCACCATAAGTAATAAATGTCTTGAAAGTATATAATAGATGACCAGTGTGAGCATATGAGTCAGCATCAGCTTTAACCACATATTAAACACAGCCACACCCTGATTTGTCTAAAACTGACAATGTTCTGTTTATTCTGAGGTGCCAGTGTGATAAATCATCCCAGTATTATAGATTTTGTGTTTAGCATGAGATGGAAATCATGTTTCCCTCAATACATTGTTGCACTGTAACTCTCAGCAGCCCCAGGCAGCATAGTGGAGAAGTTGCAATCCAACATCATCCAGAGAGAGCTATATGACTATCACCCGTGGCTTAGTTCTTGAAGGATTTTTATGTGTTTATAATCTTTAGGAAACACTGGAAGAAGGGAGGGCAAGCATCTATCATTCAGTTGTCACCAATACTTCCAAAGAGATGACGTGCTTCAGTGACTTTCCAATGCCAGAACACTTCCCAAACTTTCTGCACAATTCCAAGTTTCTGCAATATTTGCATCTGTATGCGAAGCATTTTGATCTCCTCAAATACATCAAATTTAAGGTAAGTTGATTTAAAATGGTTCTGCTCCAATTCCAATGGGCAAGGTGTGGTCCATCCGTACAGGCTTGTTGTTAAAAAGAAAAAAAATGCAGTGTTCTTGAAAAACAAATATAAGCTTATATTAAAAGGACTATTTATACAATAAACTGGAGCCCCCGGTGGTGCAGTGGGTTAAACCCCTGTGCCAGCAGGACTGAAGACCGACAGGTCGCAGGTTTGAATCCAGGGAGAGGCGGATGAGCTCCCTCTATCAGCTCCAGCTCCTCATGAGGGGACATGAAAGAAGCCTCTCACAAGGATGATAAAACACCAAATCATCCAGGCGTCCCCTGAGCAATGTCCTTGCAGACGGCCAATTCTCTCACACCAGAAGCGACTTGCAGTTTCTCAGGTCGCTCCTGACACGACAAAAAATAAAATAAAATACAATAAACTAGGAAGCTTTCCATTTTGGACCACAACCTCCTCATATCATAGGATTCTGGGAACTGTCTTTCAAAACTAATGTCTAGTATATCACAAAAGGGGGCTGGCAAAACTACCTTTGAGTACTCCTTAACTAAGAAAAGTCTATGAAATCCATGGAGTTGGCATGTCATGTCATGCACATGCATGAACACAGAATGGCTTAAACCTGAAGTCTCTGCAGGCTTCAGGACCACTTGGCTCTCTATACCTTTGCTTCAAGATGTGTTCTTTAAGTGCCAGCTTACATTAGTACAATTCAACAGAAAAGTCAAAAGTTGGAATAGACAGAATCTGAGGTTTAAATTACTGTAGACTGATGTATTGTAAGTCCACATTTAGACCAGAGGGGACTAACATGTCAAAATTTAGTCTCCATTTCTTTTTTAGCAAGGCCTTTTCATGCTGAGGGAGTGTTTATCAAGCATCCAAAAGTGCCATCCTTAAAGTAGTGATCATTTTCCAGAAAATAACCAACCAAAATTAGATAATACAGCTGCCCTGAGTCCCTTCGGGGAGATGGTGGCAGAGGTATAAGTATAGTTTTATTGTCATTTATTTATTATAAAGGGGCTCGAGCATATACAAACTTTGATATCCACTGAGGGTCCTCTACCCAACACCAACACATACCAAGGGCCCAATATATAATTACATATAGGAAAAACATCAAGAAAAATACATATAGAATAACATCTTAGCAGTATCACAAATAGATCAAGTATCCCTTTGGTTGACCATTGCAAATTATAACTTGCCTCGTATTTTTTTTAGTCGTCCCCCCACCCCCCTTGCAGCTGCCTTGCTATAAGCAAGAGTTTTGAATGAAGTCCAGGTGATGCCATCTTCCTGTATGTTTACATTTATTGTTCCATCTCTTTTTTTCTTCCTACGGAAAACCAGTTAATGATGGTGCACTTTTCTCTAGTAGCCTTCACAGTACATGATTGGTAACAGTGTCTTTATCTTGCTTTACCACAGACCACAGTCCTCAGGATAGAAAAAAGCCAGGATTACTCAACCAGTGGTCAATGGACTGTGGCCACAGAGAAATATGGAAAACAGGAATTCTTCATCTTTGATGCTGTCATGATCTGCACAGGTCACCAGAATGAAGCATATACCCCACTGGAGGATTTTCGTGGTATGGTTTTCCTGTGAAGATATACAACGAGATGTATTTCAATTGTTTCTTCAAAGGTTTAGAAAACCCACAGCCTGAGTGGATACCTAGAAATGGGTTCAATTGGCCTAGTTGTAGAAGCAAATGAGAACAACAGACTCAAGAGGTCTTGCCCAGAATGGAAGGAGAGACAATTGCCTGCTTATCCTTCTGTGTATGGAATATAGACACAATTATGCAGTATTTCACAGGACATAATCCCTATGATAGCCTTCTGATAATTCCCTGCTTCCTGGGGGTACAGATGCACTTGGAAAGAGAAAAAAAAGCAATAGACCTGAAATCTGAAAATAAATAATGTGTCATTGAGCTCTTGGACATTTAATGTATATATACCTATGCTGGACAGCTACAACATGCAAGATATGTGGGAGATGGCTAATGAGCAAAATATCTTTAAAATAAGATAATGTTTTTTCTTGGATACCTGTTTTGGTTCTCACTTTCTTAGAGATGTCTTCCCCACTCCATTCCTGTAGTTTTGCAAAAGAATTAAAGGTTGGACATCAGTTATCTGGAATTTTGAATTCCTAAATACTCCAGATTAAAGATTGTTCAGATAGGTGTCCCAGGTAATGACACCATTGTTTTCTGATTATTCAGTGAACACACATTTTGTTTCATGCACAAAATTATTAAAAATATTGCATTACATAATCTCAAAGCTACGTATATAAGTTCTGAAGGAACCATACATGCATTTTGTGTTTTGCCTTGTGTACCATATCCAAGATACCTAATTGTGTTCATATATACAGGTATTCCAAAATCTGGGGGGGGGGGGGGGAATCTGAATTCCAAAGCAGTTTTGGCCCCAAGCATTTCAGATAAACCTGTTGTGCATTTTTCATGGCACACAGATAATATTTTTACTAAGCTAGGCCTAAAAAAGGTTTTTACTGAGTAAGAATAGAAAGCATGCAAAGGTCTATGTTTCCTGTGTGTGCCATGATCAAGAGAGGGATAGACAAACCAGCAGGACTGTTGCACACAATAGAGACCCTCAACATTTCTTGGGATCATATAAGTGGATTTTACCATAGCAATGGGAAAACAGTAATTTGGGTAATCACAGATTTGTTTTCAAAGCAAACTCATTTCATCCTTGTAAAGCTGTGCCAAATGCCCAACAATTAGCTAAGATGTTATAATGGTTGAAAATCATTATAAAATCATGGCTGTCAGTCAGATATATCTGATAGAGGAACCATTTCATGTCCAAATTTTGGAAAGCATTCATATGATTATTAGGAGCAAAACAAGCTCTCAGTACTGTTTACTACTCTCAGATTGAGGGACAGACAGAAAAACAGCCATTTAAAATGAAAAAGTTATAAACTGAGTCAAATTTTACTAATCTATAAAACAAGTTATATAATAGAAAATGAAAATATTTTGGTGTTATGTTAATTTTCAACAGGATGACTGAATTGATTTTTGCCATTTGCAGAAATGGATTACAATAATTCTATACACACAAGCACTGGTGACTTGCCTTTTGAGATTGTATGGACAAAATTTCCATACTTTGTTGACTCCTGAGGTCATTGGGTCTATCTCTGTGTCTCTGAGAGAATGGATGGCACAGATCAAAGGTGATTGCCACCAAAAGGAAGGGAAAAGGTGCCATCCTAACTTCCCTAGTGATGAAGTTCCTAGTGTGAGAGTAGTCACAGAGGAAGCCTTCTGCATGTGTCCAATTGCCCATGAAGGAGTGGCATAGAGAAAAGCACACCCTCTTCATATCTTAGAGATTGGGCAGGTTCACAAGGGAGGTTACAATCTTTTAGATAGCTTATACCTGATCCGTATAGAGTTTTATAGGCCAAAGCTAGCACTTTGAATTGGAATCTAAAGCCTGTTAAAGGAACAGAAATATTTTCCATTATATAATTTGTTTTATAGTTTAGTAAAATTTGACTCAGTTTATAACTTTTTCATTTAAAATTGCTGTTTTCCCCAGATTGCTCAGCTTTCAATTTAAAAGTATCATTAAGAGGCTTGAATTTGTGTTGTCTCTGTTTCCATGAGAAAAAGTAACCCTTTTTCTATAGTTAAGCCAGGTATGCTCTGGACATGATTTTAAAACTTGAATGGCTCAAAATCCAGATCCAGAATTTGACATTCATTCACACACTGCCTCATTACAACTTGATATGCTTCACTGCAGGTTTTGAAAAGTTCAAGGGTAACTATTTCCATAGCCGAAATTACAAGGGTCCAGAAGAATTTGTGGGAAAGTCGGTTTTGATCATTGGAATGGGGAATTCAGCAGCTGACATTGCTGCAGAGATCTGTCGGAAAGCAAAGAAGGTAAAAAAAAAAAAAGGTGTTCTGTGGGAGACTGGGATTGAAAGTGAAATAAAAATGAAATTGAGAAGAAATTGTGTATCAATTGATAGTAATAGAATACAATAAATAAGTGGACCCTATGCTCTGAAAATGGTATAAGATGGATGAGGCATAAACTGGGATGAAACACAAACTGGTTTATGTGCCCATCGTTCACAGATTAGCAATTGCAATCTAAATGATAGTACAGAATGAGTAAAATCCACTCCACGTCATTTTGTGGGGACCTGGTATAGTTATACTTTCAACATATTTCAAAATGCGCTTTTACTAACACTGGATTCCACTTCATCACCATATGAATGAGTTGTTTGTTCTCATTCATTTAATTGAGAACAAACAACTCAGCATCTGTATGCTTGTCCACAATGCCCTGCCTCATGCACAGAGGAAGAACTGTTTAAAGCTACAGAGAATGCAGTCACTGTTGTTCGTTTTTGGTCTAAAACTATTTAGCTGCTTGTGATCCCTTTATTTTATTAGTTTTAAACTTATTTATGCAATGCTTTTGGCACAAAATAAATAAACCATATGAATGCAGAAAGGCTGCGTTTCTGTTTAATCTAGAGATGTCTCTAAGAATGCATCTAGAGCACACATCCTCAAATTTTGGCCCTCCAGCTCTCTTGTCCTCTGTTTGGGCCTTTAAGTCCCAGAGGTCCTGGCCAGCTTGTTCAGTGGTGAGGAATTTTGGGAGTTGGAGGCCCAAACACCTGGAGGGCTACAGTTTGAGGAAGCCTAATCTAGACTGCAGAATTGATGCAGTTTGACACCACTTTAATTGACATAGTTTAATGTTATAGAATCAGGGGAGCTGTAATTTTACTAAGTCTTTAACCTTCTTTCCCAAAGAGGACCGTTATCTTACCAAACTACAACTCCATATGATTCCATAGGATTGAGCCATGGCAGTTAAAGCAGAGTGAAACAGAATTAATTCTACAGTCTAGAATAGATACACCCTTGGTTTTGCAAAGCTTTGCCACTCATATTGTTTCTACAATAGCTGTAGAACCTTCAAAAATGAAAGCAATTTCACTAATAATGAAAACAATTTCATTACTGGTGAAACAGTTTCAGTTATTGGATCCTAATTATCTTTGTTTTATCTGTAATGCAATCTGATTGTGATGTTTCCAGAACAAATTGCTTTATGAAGCTAACAAGTTATAAAATAATTCAAAACATACATCTGGCTTGGTCAAAATCAAACCTAGATCTTCTTTGGTTCACTCCAGACTGTTCCCCCCCCCCCCAAATTTAGTACTGTTGCTATCACAAACCTCAGATATCTTCGGAATTTAATGGGACAGATAACTATTATTGTCTTCACTCGAATCAGAAGTTTCACACTGTGATGCATAAGTTTCCCAGTTGTTCAGAACTATTGCTCAAACTAGATTTTCAAAAATAAAGAAAAGAAAAAAAAGGTTAGCAATTTTCAAAATAATCCCAGAACTCTTGTCCTCGAGGACAAGCATTTAGTTTTGCTTCTGCAAATAAAGAGACTATATGATGTACACTATGGGTAAAATATATTCAAGCCATTGATTTGAAGGGTGACCAAGGCCATCCCTTCTTTATAAATTTTTCTCGTTGACCTTCAGGTCTTCATCAGCACCAGAAACGGTTCCTGGGTGATGAGCCGAGTGGATGACAATGGCTATCCCTGGGACACCATCTTTCACACGCGCTTCAGGAATATGATTCAGAATTCAGTCCCATGGTTCCTTTTGCAATGGATGATTGAAAAAAAGATGAACCAGTGGTTTGACCATGAAAACTATGGCCTGGTGCCTAAAAACAGGTATATAGAACATTTATTTGCCTCCAGTGAAGCTTAATTTATCCTGTGTTGGCTGGTAGTAACAATTACAAGACATAACAGGGTTAATCTAATGAATACTTAAAGTTCAACATTTAATCTTTACTCTGTCATCCAATATCAGTCAGTGCCTCTCCCTAATGCAGGAATGGGTTGAGAAGGGCAAGGCAGCATTGCTAGCTAGCAATAATAATAATAATAATAATAATAATAATAATAATAATAATAATAATTTAATGATTATAATAATAATAATAGTAAGAAGGGGAAAGTGTTGTAGTAATATCAAGCACACTAAAGAAAAAGAGGATACCATAGAATCATAGAGTTGGAGGGGACTACAAGGACCATGTAGTCCAATAATTTGGCCTGCAGGAAAAACAACAACACAATAGAAGCATTTCCCACAGACGGCCATCCAGGCTCTGCTTGAAAACCTCCAGAGAAAGGGACTCTGTCACACTTTGAAACAGCATATTCCACAGCTCTTACCATCAGGAAGTTCTTCCTAATGAATTTCTTTTCCTGCAATTTGAATCCATTGCTCCATGTCCTAGTCTCTGGAGTAGCAGAAAACAAGCTTGCCCCCTTCTCATTGTGACATCCTTTCAAGTATTTAAAAACATGGCTTTCTTGTCCCCACTTAGCCTTCTTTTCTCCAGGCAAAACATTTTCAGCTCCCTAAGCCATCCCTCATAGAACTAGATTTCCAAATCTTTGATCATTTTGCTCACCCTTCTCTTCAGATTTTGCAGCTTAATACTGGACACAGTATTCCAGGCGAGGTCTGTTCAAATAGAATAGGGATATGACTTCCCTCGATCTAGATGCTATATTCCTGTTGATGTAGCCTAAAATTGCTATTGTGATATGCCACCAACCCCACCCTAATAGCTACTGCCTTAATGCCTGCGAAGTGGTGTGGACATGAGTCTTCCACTGCCTTCTTCCAGACATGGTGGTGTGTTGCTGCTGTTGCTGTCTTCTCTGGTGTGAATGTCACAGGTATAGTGATGCACCCTCCTCTTCAGCTTTGGGTAGGTGAAGCTGTCCCACATATGTTACTGACAACAACAATAACAAAATATTGCCCCTTCCAATCTATAATCTCTCAACTGTTTTTCCCCATTAAAGGTCACTGTTGAAAGAGCCAGTGTTCAATGATGATCTTCCAAGCCGTATCCTGTGCGGAGCTGTGACAGTGAAGCCTTCGATCAAGGAATTTACCGAAACCTCTGCCATTTTCGAAGATGGGAGTATAGAGGAGAATGTGGATATTGTCATTTTTGCAACTGGATACAATGTTGCATACCCCTTTGTGGATAAGTCAGTGATTGAGGTGGTTGACAATCGTATCCCATTGTATAAACATGTTTTTCCTATTCATCTGGAGAAGCCAACATTGGCACTTATTGGTCTCATCCAGCCCCTTGGTTCAATCATGCCCACTTCAGAACTGCAAGCCCGTTGGGCTACCAGAGTCTTTAAAGGTGAGGTTATGGCAGAGATTGACAGTTCACTTAATGAGGCATGTCACTTTACAGATAATGAGAAAGCAAACCCTATCTTGATTTGTTTATAATCTAAAATTAGACACACTGTACAAGAAATTAGAGGAAGAGGATTGAAATGGAGGCAGAAGGAATAAGCAGGAAAGCAATACACTGTTTCAGTTATGTGTGTTCAAACTTAGTTACAATTTAAATAGAGAACTATATACCATTTTATATTGCTTATTTGTTTCAGCTGTTGTTGCTGCTGTGTTCCTCCAAGTAATTTCCATCCTATGCTGACCTCCAGTGAACCCATCACAGGATTTTCTTAGCAAGATTTGTTCACAAAAGATCTGCCGCTGGCTTCTCTAGGATGAGAAAATGTGACTTGCCCAAAATCCCCCAAGGGTATTTTGGCCAAGTGTGGACTGGAACTCTGAGTTTAAATTGAATCATAGAATTATATAAGAATAGAGTTTGAAGATAACACATGGGTCATATAGTCCAACTCCTTGCCATGCAAGAAAAGCACAATCAAAGTATCCCTGACAGATGGCCATCCAGCCTCTGTTGCACAGGGCACAGCCACTCTGTATGTATGAACACATCACATGAGAATATAGTTTGAAACAGAGTTGGGCACAATCTTATTGATTACAGCTTACAGTAGGGTTAGCAATCATGCATTTGGGGCTGGATTTCAGCCAGATTTGTTGTTATGTGTTTACAAGATGACTCCAAATTATTATAGAAGTTATTTGCCAAAATGTATTCAACTTAAGTTTTCTATTTCTTTCCTTACATGACAAGAGTGTTATTAAGGCTGAGGAAGTGTTTGTTGACCATGGTTACCCAGTAGCCTTCCTTAGCTAAGCCAGGATTTGAAACATTAAAAGACTGGAATGCACCAAAGAATTTCAGAAGGAGTCAGACAGAGAAAGTGGATCTGAGGATCTGATAGATTTGATGAGGATTGATTTTATCAACCTTTTAACTTATTTTTTTTTAAAAAAACAACCTGAAATGACTACTGCAGAAAGTTAAAGAAGAAAGTGAAAAAGAAATTTGCAAATGAATATTAAGACAAAAAATAATGTCCACAGATAATTTATATAATTTTAAAGTGGATAACAAAGACACTGAAATAAATATTTCCTATGTCTTGGCTCAATCAGCAAATCAAGAAGAAACCAGAAAAAGACAAAGAGTTAGAAAGGCAGTGATGGAAAAGCTAGATGCACACCTCAAATATAAAGATATACAATCAAAAGGGTCATCCAGTCTAGTACACTGCCATGCAGGAACACACAAAGAACTCCTGTCAGATGGCCAGGTAGCCTTTTAAATACCAGTGCAATTGAATGTTCCTTAGACATGCATTCTGGGTTTCTTCATTCACCTCCTATTTGTCATCCTCACAGGAACTCCCATCTAAGCAACATCCTCCTCACTACATCCTCCTCATTTACCAGATCATCACTTTTGGTTAGGGTCAGATTATTATTATTAGTAGTATCATGCTCATGATCATCACCACCATCATCATGATCATCATGATCTTTATTTATATCCCACCTTTTTCCCATGGGGACTCAAGGTGGCTAACATGTATCCACACTAGACAGTTTAAAAATAATAACTGTGGTAAAAACAGAATTAAAATACGGCAAATACATTAAAATGCCTTTAAATCTCATATCCCCCCCCCCAATCCCGCCCACCCTCCCCAAAGCTTCACCTTCCCCTTTCTGAAAAATCTGTTGGCAGAGGAAGGTCTTGACCTCCTTGCGGAAGGCCAGCAGGGATGGGGCCATTCTGGTTTCCACAGCCTGGGGGCAGCCACTGAAAAGGCCTTAAAATGTGTAATCCCCTTGTTGTTTCTTCAACCTTCTGGACTATGAAATTGTCTGCAAGACAAGTAAGGCATTTGTTAGACCTGATATTCTTGCCAAAGTTGTCTTCCAACAAGTACCAGGATACAGTATTTAAAATTTCCCATTACTAATATATCTCTCCTTTCCAAATTAGTAGCCATCTGTCCTAGGAAGAAATAATCTAGATCCCCAGTCTGGCTTTGAAGTCTGTAGTAGATCCCCACTAAAGATCATCTTGTTTATTTCCTTGCTTTGTGTATTTCTTTACTTTTATCGAAGGCCAAGGGTTATCCCCTCTAGGCGCTTCTTTAAGCTCCCCCTTCTGTTTGCTGAGTTCTTGTACTTCTTGCTCAGTTCTCTCTATACGGGCTGGAGTATTCTCTCCTGATAAATATCTGCCTACCTGAATGCTGTTTTCCTGCCCCACATGACTCAGTTTAAAGCTCTCCTAATCAGGTTTGTAAAAACGTTCTTAGCAAAAACGTTCCTGCCAGCCTCTGTGACATACAAGCCATTCCTTGCCAGAAATTCAAGGTCCAAGGAGCCAAACTGTTCCTGGTGGCGCCATTTGGAAAGCCAGTTATTTTCTTCAATTATCCTTCTTTTCCTTTCTAGAGAGAACTTCCAATTGATTATGTACTTCCAAATGTCTAAAATGATTCCTGGTCCTTTTACTATGTGTGACTTTCCTGCAAGACAACCTGCTTGGTTGTACAGGAACACTTAGAAAAATACATCTCCTGTGTGTTGGGACCGAATTCTTACTTAGAGGGATCCCCTGTGTTACTCTCCTTTGTGATTCTCCTGCATGGGAAGTCTGTTCTGCTGGATCCAAGGCAACCTTTTCCTCCATAATACATTGTAATGTGGCTGCCTGGGTCTCAAGGTGCTGGACCTTCTTTTCTAAGAGGGCCACTAACTTGCCCTAGCTGCAAGTATAGCTATCCACATCCTTGAGAAAGAACATAAAGACTGTACAGTTGTTGCAGGTGACTGCATGAGCTCCCCCACCATCCATTTTTTGCAGACTTAAGTAGAAAATTAAGTAGAGAATGGACAGAAATCTGGGCCTTCCTCTCATAACCTCCCCTCCTGCCAAAGGTCAAGATGAATGCTGAAATACAACACCGTCTGAGCTCTGTGAATCCAGTATTTTTTCAAATGAAGCAGAGAGTGTTTGAGCATTGGAACATTTGCAGGGATACCAAGATGCTTTTTTAATAAAGCTATTGTCCTTCTGTTGTATGCCTGTGAAACATGGACCATCTACAAATGTCCCTCTTGACTATCTGAAAAATCCCATCAGCATTGCCTTTGAAAAATCCTGTCCATCTTGAGAAGACAGGCAGAAAAAAAATCAGCATTCTGGAAGAAGCAAAGACTAACAGCATTGAGGCAATGATCCTCCACCATCAGCTTCACTGGACTAGCCAGATTATTGTTTGAATGCCAGTCACCATCTCCCAAAGCAATTGTTTTATTCTCAACTCAAGAATGGAAAACAGAATGTCGGTGGAGAACAATCGAGATTTAAAGATGGAGATAAAGCTAATCTAAAAAAAAAAAAAGAAAGAAAGAAAAGAGGAAGGTGCATCATGCCAATCCTTGTCAGTACCACCTTGCAACTGGAAATCTCTGTCCTCATTGTGAATGACCATACGGATCCAGAATAGATCTCCAAAGTCTCTTATAGACCGACCACCAAGACTACTTTTGGATGACAATCATGCTTCACCCTGAGAGATCACTTATTGTAGCATTATGCAGTGTGAAGGCTGCTTGGGGGCAGAGTGTCCACAAAACATACATCCCCAATTTGTGCTGCAGCGCACATCAATCCAGAAACAGCATGAGATCCTTGTCTCAAGGAATTTCTAATTCATATGTTTATAGTGACCACATGACCAAGCAAAAAAAGTAAAGCAAACAGCCAAAAAAGAGTGGAAAGGGAAGGCACATAGCACAAGGGCTCCAATTGCTTCCTCCGTTTGCTTCTTCCTCTCCATTACAGTCTTTCAAGTTCCCTGAAAAAATCTATACACTCAGAAAATCCTGCTGAACATACGAAACTATTATGCCAAGGAGAGGAGAATTCACCACACCTGAAGTGAAGCACCCTTCTGTGAATTTGAGAAGGGAATGAGTAAAGCAATGTGTGAAATAGTTTAATGTCTCCATTCCCACCTTTTCTTTTTCTTTTCATTCTTTTTCTTAGGACTGAGTTCTTTGCCTTCAGTGAGCACCATGGTGGCTGACACCAACCAAAGAAATGAGAGAAGAATAAAACGGTAAGAGAAATATTGTATGCTTTATTGTAATCCTGTTTGACACCCCACATCAGATTTCCAAAAAACATGGATATAAAATTAAAAAGTGTCATATCTTGTGAACGGAAGACTTTGAGAGCTACTTAAAAATTTTTACAAAGTGGTCTGAGGATTTACTAATCTTTGTCCTGGTTATCTAATCTTAAAAAATAGAACTACAGGGCTGGAAGAGATCACAAGGACCACACAGTCCAACCCTCTACCTTGCAGGAACACACAATTAAAGCCCTCTCAACAGATAGCCCAAACTTTAATCCTAGAAGCCAGGCTGAGAGCATATGGATAAAAATTTGGCAGGAGACAAATGAGAGGGATGAGATTGTGACAGTCTACCACAATCATAAAATCATACATTTGGAATTGGCCACAAGGGCCATCCAGTCGAACCCTCTGACATGTAGAAACACATAATCATTGGACTCCTGATAGATGGCCATTCAACCTCTGTTTAAAAACCTCAAGTAAAGTCCTTCACTACAGTCCAAGATAGCATATTCCACTCCTAATAGGTGGAATCTCTTTTCCTACAACTTGAATGCATTGCTACATGTTGTAGGTCCCATCTACACTGACTTATTAATGCAGTTTGAAGCCAGTTTCAAACTTCAATGATCAGGCAACAAATTTCAACAAAAGCCCTTGAAAGAACCCCCTTATGTATCAGTGCTCTGTGTAATCACCATCTATGCCTCAAACTGGTTCCAAGATTTCCTATGGAATCATCTGCATAGCAAAACCACATTCTTCAATACCAGTTTGAAACAGCATTAAATGGTCAGAATAGCTCCTGGTCTCTAGAGGAGGAGAAAATAAGCTTGTGCCCTCCTCAATATTCAAATATCTTTTGTCCCCCTTTTTGAAAATGGGGACATTATTTGCCTTCTTCCAATCTGTTGGAGCATCTTGTGTTTGACAGGAATTGTCAAAAATGTTTGCCAGTGGGTCTTTCAGTTCTTTTAATACACTTGAATGTAATACATCTGGCCCTGGAGGAATTACTCTTGTTTGAGCAGAGTGTCTGCCAGAAGCAAATCTATCTGCTTTTAAATATTTCATGATAATCTTGAACCCCTCTAGCAAGAGAGTGACCATCATGGGATGTATTCCTTGAAGCATACCACAATATTTCCAATTGCAAAAAAGTCTGTCTTTTGGGTTAAATATCCCCAGCCCCCAACAGCCTTTGGAGAAAGATTTTGTGACTGTTTGTGTGAACTTGGAACTTGCTTGCTTGTGCGTTCTGTAATGTTCTATTGTTCTTTAATATTATCTTTTCAAATGTGTTAAAAGATATACAAAGAAACAAACTGTAAGAAGAAAAACAATGCAGAATTTTTTTTTATTTATTTACTATATTTGCATATCGTCCTTCTCAGCCCGCAGGCGACTCAAGGTAGTTTACAGAGGCAACAATTCAATGCCCAACAACACCATAAAAACATTTTAAACATTCAAAAACATTGACATATAATATAAAACCATAACAAGATCAAAAAGACATAAATCATTTGCATCTCCTAGTTAAAACGTTGTCCAGTAAAGTCTAATATAGAAGTAAAATAAAAAAGATACATTTGTCCACCAGTTTTCTTAACAATGTTTATGCAGAAACTAAATAAAATAACTTTATCAAACATAATTACCATTTGTGTCTTTCTGCTACTGCCAAAACCTATAAAATGTTACTTCTCTAATAAAAAGTCGCGTATCAGCTTAACACACACTGCTATAGTCCAAACCCACATTTATCATACCATCCTTATATTTCTGCCAAAAAAAACCACAGTGCAAGATTTGTGTGATTATTAAAAGCTTCTTGATCTCAATTTTTAAAAACAAAAACCAAAAATAACCCTGTCAAGAGGTTTACTATATTCAGGAAAAGTACTCTCAAAGCTCTATCACATTTTTATTAGCCCTGCAGTACATTGTGTGTTAAAATTTTAATCTTGTTCTCAGAGTAAACACGATTAGCTAAATTGTAGTGATGATGGCGTGCCTTCAAGTCATTTCCAGTTGACAGCAACACAGAAGTGGATGTATCCAAGGGTTGTGATTGCCTTCCTCTGAAGCTGAGATAATATGTTTACAGACCACTGCATAGAGTTCTGTGAATAAGCAGGCATTCAAACCCTGATCTCTCAGAGTTATAGCCCAGCACTCAATCCACTACTCCATCCCAGCTCTCTTCATTACATTGTTAATCTAGAGTAGCACTATGTACTGGCTTCACTCCCTCAGATAGAGTTGCAATTTTTATCTTTGTTTTCTCAATTTCTAAAGGTTTGGCACCAGCCGCAATCAATCAATCCAAACAGATTTCATTGAGTATCTGGATGAGCTTGCTGTTGAATTAGGATCAAAGCCAAAGGTATTCCCATTGTTACTGCGGGATCCCCAGCTGGCCATGAGAATCTTCTTTGGACCCTGTAGCCCATTCCAGTATCGACTGATGGGACCTGGGAAATGGGCCGGAGCCAGGGATGCCATATTCACCCAGAAGGAGCGGATCATCAAGCCTACCAAAACCCGAGTTGTGGGCAACTCTTCAAGCTATAACCAGTTTTTCCTCCTTAAAATCAGTGGTATCATTGTTGTCTTGGCTGCTATATTCCTGATCTCCACCAACTAATGTAAGAATAATGGTTTGAATTCAGATTGCAAAAGTTATGCATGGCTCCTCCTATAATAATCAGTTTATATGTGGAATAATTGATTCCATGGTTACAGTCAGGCCGCTATTGTTATTAGCTTTTGTGTATATATTCAGAAATGGAAAATATTTTCTTTCTCAAAAAATGTGCAATATAAAGGTGGTGTGCAAAGATACTCTGATATATGTCTGTATATGCAACATACCTATTTACTTATAATCCCCTCTCCCAAAAAATGTTCAACTTCCAGTCTTCTTCTCTCCACTGTGCCTGGTGCTTCCACATACACCTGGCCATGGAAGATAATAATATAATATAATAACTTCATTTTTATACCCCGCCACCATCTCCCCAAGGGGACACAGAGCGGCTTACAACAAGGGGCAAGCCCAACAATTACAGATAAAAACAAAGGCACAGTTTAAAACACTCAATAAAAATAATAAACCATAGCACAGTCAAAAACACTTAAAACAACATAAAACAGTAGGCTGAGATAAAAGTCATAATTGAGCTGAGTGCAAAGAAATCTTAAGGGAGCCAAAGGAAAGTTCGGAGATTGAGTGAACAGGGGCTAGGGACAGTAGTTGGCAAAAGTGTCGAGGAAGCCAATAAAAGGGCCGAAATAAAGTGCAAAGCTTAAACTTAAAATAAGGACCAGATGGATTTATAGTAAACTGCCTAATCAAAGGCTCAATGGGACATCCAGGTTTTCAATTCCTACCAAAAGGAAGCCAGAGTGGGCGCCTGTCTGCTCTCCCTAGGGAGGGAGTTCCAGAGCCAGGGGGCCACCACTGAAAAGGTCCTCTCCCTCAACCCCACCAACCGTGCTTGGGACGGTGGTGGAAGAGAGAGCATAGCCTCTCCAGATAATCTCAGGCTATGCACTGGTTTGTAAGGGAAGATATGATCATGAAGATAGGCAGGAGGAGTGGGAAGAGAACAAGGCAGTGGTGAGCAAGCTCCCTGGGGTCAACAGCAGTGGTGGTAGTGGCCTATCTCCTCTCATTGCCCCTAGGAGGGCTTTGAGAAATTTATTAATTTGTTTTACTTTCATGAAGGGTCATCTGCCTGACCCCCTGAAAATGTGGAGGGCCAACTGTAGCTGAGACCAGATAGCCCATAGCAATTCTGTCCATAACTTCAAGGAATATTCACCTTCCTCTTTATCTTCCCTACTGTTTTAGGTTACATGTCTTCACAATCATATTGAAAAACATCTAGGAAACTCACAGAGAAAAGGTAGGGCAGGTGATGAAATTTTCAAAATGTTTTCCCAGATAATATTTGTAGGCACTCTGGTATCTGTTTTGAAAGGTTCCCATTTTACATTTTATTGCAAGAAGACATAATTAAGTCAGCACTGATAAGACACAAATGAGGTACAGGTAATTATGAACAGGATAGGTTCTGTAGGTTTGTTCTTAAGTTGAATTTTTTTGTAAGTCGGAACAGATGCATTGTTAAGTGTAACTCCAGCCATATATAGAGAGGGGGGGGGGGCTTTAGATAGCATAGGGAAAGGTTAATAGCCCTGTGATGTTTATTTTGCTGTCTTGTCCCTATGCAGAAGATTTCACTTCACTTTCTTTCCCTGTGATAATTGAATTTTGAACATTCTGGCTTGTTGTGGAAACAAGGATCGGAGAGGAAGCTTCTGTGGAGACACCTTTTCCCCATGATAACTCTTCCAGGAGAGACTTTCCCTTCCGAGGGGTAGATTTCTCTCACTTCCTATTGTCTCACCCTTGTTCTTAACTATGAGTTGTTTGTAAGTCAGATATTTGTAATTTGGGGACTGCCTGTACTCCACATAGCACACCAATTGTAATCAAATACATTTCATACATTAAAAATGAGAGAAGCACAAGAGAACACTGGCTTAATAAAATGTTTTCTTTTAAGATGATATTTGCTATAATATCAATGTGTGGAATATTATACAAATTGATCTTTCCCCCATATCTTTTGAGGGAAAGTACCTTTCCCCTCTCCTCTTCTATGTATACCGTATTCTCTCAAGTTAATTTCCAAAACATATTACTCTAATAAATTCAAACAGAAACGGAATATTGGCTCAAGACACTAAACTGAAGGGATGAGTTCGAGTAATATGTCGAGTATTGAAAGATCGAGTATTGAAAGAAGTCCACAAGGCTGAAAGCCAAGGAATCAAAATAAGAGTACAGAGCCCGACAGTTTACAACATGAAAAGAGCAGTGGCTAAGCAACCCAGCCACTCTATGGGCTCTATTTTAATAACGTTGAAGGGAAGGTCCACAACAAGGAAACATGGGAGTGGCTTAGAAGGGAAACTCTAAAAAAGGAAACCGAAGACCTGAGTTTTGCTGTACAAGAACAGGCCTTACGAACAAATGCAATAAAAACAAGAATGGAAAAGTCCTACAATGACCCAAAGTACTGTTTATGCAAAAAGAATGATGGGACAGTCCAGACTGACTATATTGAACATCACAACAGGCTAGCAGCAATGGTGCAGTGGAACCTTTGCAAGAAGTATGACCTACCCTGCAGTAAAACCTAGTATGAGCACAAGCTGGAAAAGACTACGGAAAACAAAGAAGCAAAAATACTCTGGGATTTTAGAATCCAGACAGATAAACACCTGCCACGTTACACACAAAAAATAATTGTTGTGGGAAAGAAACATGTTTTTATTACAGACATTGCAGTACCAAGAAATAGTATAATAGAGGACAAAGAGCTGAAAAAGATCATGAAATGCAAGGACTTACAAACTGAAATTGGACAAGTATGGCAAAAGAGAACAACAGTGGTTGGTGCTCTTGGCGATATTCCAAGAAACCCCAATAAGTACTTGAAAGCCTTAATTTGGACAGAACTACAATCCACATTCTACAGAAGGCACTCCTCCAAACTGCACACATTCTATGAAAATACCTCTAATGTCCTAGGCCCTTGGGAAGAGCCCGATATTCAGAGATGAATCCCAGACACTTTGACCTCATGTGTATAGGTTGTTGTGTTGTTATGTACATGAAAATGAAATAATATTTTGAACCAACTGGAGTTTCTGAACATGGTACAAAGGCAGTCCAATGTAAAGAGTATTGCAGAAGTCCAACCTTGAGATTACCTGTGGATGCACTCCCATCTTAAGATCCTCCAAATCTAGGAAGGGGCGCAGCTGGCGGATCTGGCAAAGTTGATAGTAAGCACTCCTGACCGTCACATCTACCTGGGCTGACATTGGAGAGATGGATCCAGGATGTCCCTTGCTGTAGACACAGTCTTTCAGGAGGAGTGTAACCCCATCGAGAATTGTTGACATTCCTCCATCCCCAGGTTAGGACCCTTGGTTGCAAGCACCTCTGTTTTGTCTGGATTTAATTTCTGTTTGTTTTTTCTCATTCAGCCCATTACCTCTTTCAGCCATCAATTAAGAGGAGACATACTCTCCTTAGATGAAGCTGTTTTTGAAGCCATGAAATATATTTGGGTCTCATCACTATATTGATAACACCCCGCCCCATTCCTGTGGATGATCTCTTTCATCAGTTTCATTTAAATATTAAAAATCATTGGGGATAAAATGGCATATTGTGGGATGCCACATAACAGCTCCTTTTTGGGGGAGCAACTATCCCCAAACACCACCATCTGGAACCTGCCTGAGAGGTATGACCGGAACCACTGCAGCACAGTGCTTTGGATTCCCAGCAGAACAGAGTTGGAAGAGATCACATTAGCCATCCAGTCCAACCTCTTGCCATGCAGGAAAAAGCACAATCAAGGCACCCCTGTCAGATGGCCATGAAGTGAGATGTGTCTAAAGCTACAATGGCTAGATCAATGGAGTCCAGAAAGAATTGTTCACTAAAGGAAGAGTTGTAAAAGTTGCCTACAACTATAACTCCTGAGGCAACCAGACAACAAACACCCAAAAAAGCCTGAGAAAGAAATTCTTTCATATGCATTAACATTTCTGTGGTAATCCACTGATTTCTAACCAGCCAAGGCTGGCAATAAGGCCACTGGCAGACTAGCTAAACAAGGAATGATAGAGACAGCAATAGTTTGCTAAAAGTCAAGGGGTGTGTGTGTGTGTGGGGGGGGGGGGGGGGGGGGGGGGGGGGGGGGGGGGGGGGTGGATCTGCTTTAAAAAGCCTGAAATTGACATCTCTTGAAATTGGATCTTCCCTCTTTCCTCCTTACTCCAAAGAATTCCATTCCAGGTTTTGTAAATGCCTTGCCTCAGAAGAAGGAGGGAAAGGGGGAAATTCAGTCCCAAATCACCGAATATTAACAGAAATATTAACAGAGCTGTTTGTTTGAGACTGGGTTAAACTGCCTCCTCCGCTTTCAGAAAGAAGACATTTTATTTTTTTAAAAATCAACAGATTTCCCTCCCTTGCACAATAGTCAAATTCTTTTTTGCTGAAAAAAAGGGAAAAAAGGAAAAAAGTGAATTACCTGAAAGGCACCAGATCTTCTTGGATGCTAAACAGGTTCAGCCCTGGTCAGGTAAGCCAATATTAGTTATCCCAAACTGTATTCTAGATAAACAAACTGGCACAATTATCTCAGGGTGTTTTGCCCATGCCATCAGCTCTGAGCTGGATTTTGATCTAAGGGATATTGACCACAACTGCAAAGATAAATGTTACAATGAAATTTAGCTTATATGTAGTTTAAAACACTGATAGTCCTTACTATCACTATAGGTCATGTAAGTAAGTAAGTATGTAAGTAAGTAATAGGTCACTGATTTTTGGGCACACTGTCTTAGTTTCTTTGGCACAAGTTTTGCACCCTTTTCTGCATCTTTTCAGCCCCCACAAAACAGCAAGCACTATCCAGGCTCACAACAGATCATTCCAATTGTCTTTCCAAAACTACCAGAAAGCACAAATCCACAGCCAGGCAACTGAAGTTCATAATACTTTTCAAGTAGCTGTACTTCTTGGAGAGAATAAAGATTTTGTTTAAACATCTCTGGAGAGCATTAGCTAGGTCAGTGGTTCCAAACCTTTCTTTTGACCAGGGACTACTTGACCATGGACCTTTTTGACCAGGGACCACTCCCCAACATTAATACCAAAAGGGTTACAAATCAGTTTTTGGTCAACTTTAGATTTGGTTTGGGGTGCCGATTCAGAAAATTGCATTGGATAGACCACATCAGCTCTAGCTTCTGATACAGAACATATGCCATGGTCAGAGACATTGGGAAGTAGTGGCAATTGGTGCGAAAGGAGCGGAAATAAATAAAATAAAATAAAGAGGAAAGAGGCTTGTGGACCAGATTTTCATCCTTACAGCCCACTGGTGGTCCACGGCACACAGGTTAAGAACCACTGAGCTAGATAATGTTATATTAGATGGTCCACCTGTAATTGAATTCAAATGAGAACTTGGTCTACTAGCTTCTGCGTTAGTTTTAATACAGAATTTTCGGTACTGTTTCATTATCCAGGCGGACTCCAAAGGGGGCCTTGACAGAGAAGGACAGTCCGTTTTATGGGGGGGGGGGGGGTTGAAGAAGGAAAATCATTTGCCTCATCTTTGCTGATTGTCCCTCCCCCGTTTTCCCATATCATAAACAATGACGGTGACATGGGGGGAGGAAATAACAGGAAAATGGAGAAATGGTTTAATTCCTTCAATTCCCTTCCCCCCTGTAAAATGGACTATCCTTCTCTGTCTGGCGCCCCCTTGTGGCCTCCACCCAGACATTGGAACCGTGGGATCAGGCTTTCAGAGAAGCAGTACAGTAATATAATATAATTGGAATATGTGCAATGACTATGGGATGGCCTTAGCTTATGGATGGCGTGTTTTAATCGTAAATGTAATTTTTAATGTTTTATATGTATTAATTTTTCATCCAATTGATTTTAAGCTTAATGCTTATATTTAAATTTATTTATTTAAAACATTTATATTCTGCCCTTCTCACCCCAAAGGGGATTCAGGGCAGAGCAAAACATACAAACAGCAAATATTCAATGCCGGGACATAAATAATTATACACATACATAAACATTAAAATCATTGATTTCGACATTAAAATCCACTGCTTAATCATCTTGATCATCCGTGTCGAATCTAGTTGGCATGGTGAGATTTGCTGTTGCTGCCTTTTTGCACTGTCCCAAAGGCTTGGTCCCACAGCCAAGTTTTTATTTATTTATTTATTTACTATATTTGTATACTGCCCCTCTCAGCCTTCCGGCGACTCAAGGTGGTTTACAAGGCAAAATTCAATGCCACAAAACATAAGTACAATATAAAAACGTTAACATCAATAAAATCATAACAACAGCAATAAAACATAAGTCAATAAATTCTCATTAAAACATTGTCCAGTCCCATCGTGTAGTTGTTCCATTTCCTATGTCCATTACTCAATATTTGCAAATGCTTGCTCGAATAGCCATGCCTTGAGTTTTTTCCGAAATTTAAGGACCGAAGAAGCGAAGAAGCTGATCTGATCTCCGGGCTGCCGGTAAGGCATTCCATAGCCGAGGGGCCACCACTGAGAAGGCCCTGTCTCTTGTCCCCGCCAGACGTGCTTATGACAAAGTCGGGACCAAGAGCAGGGCCTCCCCAGATGATCTTAAAGTCCTCTATAGTTCATAAGATAAGTTGGGCCAGAACCGTTTAGGGCTTTATATGCCAAAGCCAGCACTTTGAATTGTGCCCGGTAGCAGACCGGCAGCCAGTTGAATTGGCGCAGCAAGGGGGGTTGTATGCTCCCTGAGAGCCACTCCAGTTACCAACCTGGCTGCCGTTCGTTGGACCAGTTGAAGCTTCCAGACAGTCTTCAAAGGCAACCCCACATAGAGCACATTGCAGTAGTCTATACGGGATGTAACAAGAGTGTGTATTACCATGGCCAAGTCAGACTTCCCAAGGTACGGGCACAGCTGGCGCACAAGCTTTAACTGTGCGAATGCTCCCTTGGTCACCGCCGAAACCTGGGGTTCCAGGCTCAGCTATGATTCCAAGATCACACCCAAGCTACAAACCTGTGTCTTCAGGGGGAATGTAACCCCATCCAACACAGGCTGTAACCCTATGCCCTGTTCGGCCTTATGACTGACCAGGAGTACTTCTGTCTTGTCTGTATTCAATTTCAATTTGTTAGCCCTCATCCAGATTGTCACAGCTGCCAAGCATCAGTTCAGGGCCTGAACAGCCTCCTTAGTAGCGGGTGGGAAGGAGTGACAGTTGGACTTCGTCTGCTTACAGATGACACCGCACCCCGAAACCCCGGATGATTTCCCCCAGCAGCTTCATGTATATGTTGAACAACATGGGAGACAGTTTTGAATCCTGAGGAACCCCACAAGACAATAGTTGTGTGGGGCTGAACAGGTCTCTTCCAGTAACACCATCTGGGTACGACCCTCCAGAAAGGACTGGAGCCACCTCCAAGGCCCATTCCATCAAGGTGTCCCAGAAGGATACCGTGGTCAACGGTATCGAAGGCCGCTGAGAGGTCCAGAAGAACCAGCAGGAACACACTCACTCTGTCTAGCTCCTGGCGTAGATAATCAATTAAGGAGACCAAGGCTGTCTCGGTTCCATGTCCTGGTCTAAAGTCAGACTGTGCCATCCTTCTGAAGGACAGGAGGGAGGGGGCTGATCTAATCTCACCAGGAAGGGTGAGGGGCAATCACTATGCCACCCCTGTACCAGGTCAAAGCCTTCTAGAGCTAGTATCTTTCTTTTTTCTAATAATGACCAATCCCTTATCCATGTTAGAGCAGCGGCATCGTAGTACAACTGAAGGTCTGGTAACCCCATGCCTCCTCTTTTTTTTATTGTCAGTCAGATTCTTAAAGCTCTCGTCCCTGCCAATCATGCCTGTGACAGTAGCAGGACAGAGAGCAGGGCCTCCTCGAAGGATCTTAGTCTCTGCGATGGGTCATAGAGGGAGATAAGTTCAGAATATGTGTGTTCAAGGTATTGAATAATTGCCATATGTAAGCTGCCTTGAGTCCCCTTTGGGGTAGAAAAAGGCGGGGTATATATAGGGTAAATAAATGAAATAAATAAATACCAAATTTTCATAGCCTTGCTGACTTTCATATGTTAGAGCATGGGTCCTCAAACTAAGGCCCGGGGGCTGGATACGGCCCTCCAAGGTCATTTACCCGGCCCTCGTTCAGGGTCAACCTAAGTCTGAAATGACTTGAAAGCACACAACAACAATCCTACCTCATCAGCCAAAAAAGCAGGTCCATACTTCTCATTGAAATACTAATAAGTTTATATTTGTAAAAATTGTTCTTCATTTTTATTATTGTATTTATTTATTTAATTACGACATTTATATACCGCCCTTCTCACCCCAAAGGGGACTCAGAGTTGCTTACTAGATATATATAAGGTAAAGGTAAAGGTTGTCCCCTGACATTAAGTCCAGTCATGTCTGACTCTGGGGTGTGGTGCTCATCTCCATTTCTAAGCCGAAGAGCCAGCGTTGTCCATAGACACCTCCAAGGTCATGTGGCCAGCATGACTGCATGGAGCACCGTTATATATATATACATACAATATATTATATTATTAGCATAGTATTAGCATTGTACTATATCATTATATTGTAATATTAGTAGTAATATTACATGTAATATAAAATATATAATTATAATATTATATTATGTTATATTGTATTAGCCATCCCCTGCCACACATTGCTGTGGCCCACATGGGGGTTCTGTGTGGGAGGTTTGGCCCAATTCTATTGTTGGTGGGGTTCAGAATGCTCTGTGATTGTAGGTGAACTATAAATCCCAGCAACTACAACTCCCAAATGTCAAGATTCTATTTTCCCCAAACTCCACCAGTGTTCACATTTCGGCATATTGAGTATTCGTGTAGAGTTTGGTCCAGATCCATCATTGTTTGAGTCCGCACTGCTCTCTGGATGTAGGTGAACTACAACTCCCACACTCAAGGTCAATGCCCACTAAACCCTTCTAGTGTTTTCTGTTGGTCATGGGAGTCCTATCTGCCAAGTTTGGTTCAATTCCATCATTGGTGGGGTTCAGAATGCTCTTTGATTGTAGGTGAACTATAAATCCCAGCAACTACAACTCCCAAATGACAAACTCAATTTTTTTGAGTGATGGACATACATTGGGTTGTTAGGTGAATGTTGTCCAAATATAGTGTCAATTCCCCCAGTGATTTTTGAGTTATGTTAATCCCACAAATGAACATTACATTTTTATTTATATAGATTGTTTTAAAGTGTTTTTTGCACTACAAATAATATATGTGCACTGTGCATAAGAATTCATTCATGTTTTTTTTCTCAAATTATAACCTGGCCCTCCAACAGTTTGAGGGACCATGTGACCTGGCCCTCTGCTTAAAAAGTTCGAGAACCCCTGTGTTAGAGCATATATTGAATACCAAAAGATGTAAAAGCCAAATTATCCATGATGAAGACCTCCAGATTAAAAAACCTATGCTTTTTACAAAATGCCCTGTGAGTAGGTGTGTACTCCAGAAATTGAGATTTAAACATGTGGTTGAAAAGCTTATGCGAGCTAAACTATCTGCATGTTGCATATCTTCAACCATTTTTGTGGGGTTTTTTTCCTTTTCATGGACTCTGCCTGAAGAACCTAGATAAGCAAAGTATTTGATCTCAGATTTAAACACGATGAATTGGGTAAGGTATGCAATGGCACAGGTAAAGCATACATAGTTGTGTTCCACTTTGCTGAAAGGTATTTAAGACTTGTGTATACTCAATAAACATATCCCACAGACTCTCGGGTGAGGGGTCTAACCCTTTTGATCAAAGAATGGTGTGCATGTGGCTGGGCGTTTCTTTTCTGATCAGGTTTAGAGTTTCTTAAACAGTTTCCCTCCTACTTGGGATGTGGAAGGCAGACATTTGAGAATTGCTTACACTTACTCTCCTGTAAAGGGTTGAATATTCTGAGGGTGTATTTTTCTTTTTCTGTATTTCAAGACATCATGCCCAAAAAAGTAGCTATTGTCGGAGCAGGTATAAGTGGATTAGTTTCCCTCAAATGCTGCTTGGATGAAGGACTGGAGCCTACCTGCTTTGAGAGAAGTGATGACATCGGGGGAATTTGGCAATTCAAGGTAAGTTGGGGCATCTGATACAATATATTTCCTAACCTTTTTGTATTTTATGCTATATAGTTAAATCTGTGTATTTTAGATGCTACGAGCCCAAACGCTATAGATGTTGCCTTTGATAATGGTATGGAAACTTGCATTATTCAAAACTAGTATGGACTATATGCAGAGCCAATTCATGGAACTCTGGGCTTCTGCTACCTGCAGAACTCTCCACTGCTGTGCAAACTTTATTAATTTAGTATTTTGACCTTGTGGGGGGGTCGACAACATAATCACTTTAAAAGACACTACTATAAACCATGATAAACTTACTTGTGCTACTGTATGCATAGGAAAATATTGAAGAAGGAAGGCCCAGCATCTACAAATCATTGATCAGTAACTCCTGTAAAGAGATGTCAGTCTTTTCAGACTTCCCATACCCAGAAGATTTTCCAGTCTTTTTGCCCAATGCCAGGCTTCTGGAATACCTGGAGATGTATACAAAGCATTTTGATCTACGGAGACACATTCAGTTCAAAGTAAGCTTGATATATTTCTGTCTAGAGCAGTTTCTTTCAACCTTCCTAATGCCGTGACCCCTTAATATATTTCCTCATGTTGTGGTGGCCCCCAACCATAAAATTATTTTTGTTGCTACTTCATAACTGTAAGTTTGCTACTGTTATGAATTGTAATGTAAATATCTGATATTCAGGTTGTGTATTCATTCGTTGGACCAAATTTGACACAAAAACCCAATATGCCCAAATTCGAATACTGTTGGGGTGGAGTGAGGGATTTATTTTGTCATTTGGGAGTCGTGGTTGCTGGGATTTATAGTTCATCTGCAATCAAAGACCATTCTGAACTCCACCAATGATGGAATCAAACCAAACATGGTACACAGGACTCTGATGACCAACAGAAAATACTGGAAGGGTTTGGTGGGCTTTGACCTTGAGTTTTGGAGTTGTAGTTCACCTACATCCAGAGAGCACTGTGGCCTCAAACAATGACAGATCTGGACCAAACTTGGCATGAATACTCGATATGCCCAAATGTGAACACTGGTGGAATTTGGGGGAAATAGACCTTGACATTTGGGAGTTGTAGTTGCTGGGATCTATAATTCACCTGCAATCAAAGAGCATTCTGAACCCCACCAATGATAGAATTGGGCCACATCCCCATGCCTAGAAGGACTCACTGGTGCGAGTCTCCCTCCCGCCTCGCAAGCTCTCCCTCAGCCACGCATGCACACCATGTTGCCATGTGCTGAGCATTCCTGCTCTCTCTCCCACCCTCACCCCCGACCACCAGGCTGAGAAATACTGATATAGAGACCCTGCATTATTGCACTCCAGAGAGAGAAACAATTCCAGGAATACAACTGAGAATGGCTTGCCTACTCGGATGGTCATGCATATTTCTAGTTGGGAAAGATGTTAATGATTGAAGGAAGCCATATTTCTTTATCCAGCTGAGCATACTCCTTTCCAGATTGTTAGTCATTATTATTTTATGTAAATGTTTCAGACTAAAGTGATCAATATTAGGAAGTGTCCTGACTTCTCTACCACTGGCCAATGGGATGTTATCACAGAGACAGAAGGGGAGCAGAAGTCAGCCATCTTTGATGCTGTGATGGTTTGCATTGGTTTCCTTACTAACCCTAGGATGCCACTCACTTCTTTTCCTGGTAAAGTTCTTTTTTAAATGTCTTTCTGTTTATTTGCAAAATTCACATTCTGTCAATATTACTCCATTAAAACCAATCAAAATGTCACAATATAATGAACACGGTTTCAAACGCTCCAGAATTTGGAGGGGTGGTAGAGTTGACTACATATTAAAGCCATAAAGATCCCTTCTACACTGTCATTAGATCTCATGATCTGATACCAGTTTATTTGCTTTGAACTTGATTATGTGAGTCTCCACTGCCATATAATCTGGGATGTGGAGATAATCTCGTCAGGCACGGGGCTTTGCGCAAGGATAGGCTGCGCAGGGCAGCCTCCCTTGCCTGGCTCACACTGCCCATCGGGCCTGACGGATAGCGTGAGCCAGGAGAGGGGAGCAGCACTGAGAGGGAGGCCTGAGAGGGCACTGAGGGGGAGGCTTCCTCCTCCACAGGCCAGATAAGTGCCCTGGGTGGGCCGGAAGTGGCCCGCGGGCCATAGTTTGAAGTCCCTTGTCCTAAACCTTTTCCTTAACCTTAGCAGTAGATGGGGGGGGGGGGTGCCAAAGATCCTGGCCTGAGGCTGAGCTTCAGGATGTAGGCGTCATGATCCAAACAGACACTAGAAAATCACTAAAACTAAAATTCACTTAGGAGTAGACCTCACTTCATTGACTGAAATTTCCAAGGAAAGTACTGTACTGTAAAGTACTGTATAGAATTTGGCTACTGTTCGTTTAGATGTCATCTGGAAGCTTACTGTGACATGTTCTTAATTCCACACAGGTATAGAAATATTTAATGGCATGTATCTTCATAGCCGGCAATATAAAAACGCAGAAGTATTCCGGGATAAAAGAGTACTTGTGATTGGCATGGGGAATTCAGGAGTTGATATTGCAGTGGCAGCAACACACACAGCAAAAAAGGTAACATTTCTCATTTTAAACACAATATATGTGTTCACTGATTGTGGATTGCTGGTATATTGACTAATGTGAACAACCACGAGAAAACCATATTGTCATGTTGATGCAATTTAAATTAAAATGCGCCTAAGCCAGTTTAGAAAACATGGTGTGCTTCTACCAAATATAATAAAAATTAAAGAATGGGAGAAATAGACTGCCTCTGCTGTGAGCTGCAATTAATATTTCAGGAAGCCAACTAATGCAACAAGAATCTTTGAAGAAATCCACAAGTGTGGAAATGGCATTGTTAGAATGTAAAAGACACTGCAAGAACAGGCCTTTAGATACTTTCCCTTTTCATGTATTCTAACTATTTTAACTGGACATAAGAAGAAAGTTAGGGATAGAAGTTTGAGTGCAGCCAGGAAGGGCACTTGAGATTGTTGTTTATTCGTTCAGTCGCTTCCGACTCTTCGTGACCTCCTGGACCAGCCCATGCCAGAACTCCCTGTCGGCCGTCACCATCCCCAGCTCCTTCAGAGTCAGGCCAGTCACTTCAAGGAAACCATCCATCCATCTTGCCCTTGGTTGGCCCCTCTTCCTTTTTCCTTCCATTTTCCCAAGCCTCAGTGTCTTCTCTAAGCTTTCTTATCTTCTCATCTTTGCCTCTAATTTCATTCCCTCCAGTGAACAGTCAGGCTTTATTTCCTGAAGTATGGACTGGTTGGATCTTCTCACGATCCAAGGCACTCTCAGTACTTCTCATTTGAGATATTGCAGCTTCAATTTAGTCACCTTTCCCAAAAACATGTGACGTGGCAGCATCCCTTTAGCAGTGGTTCCCAATTGTTTTTTGACCAGGGACCACTTGACCAGGGACCTTTTTGACCAAGGACCACTCTTCAACATTAGTACCAAGAGGTTTATGAATCTGTTTTTGGTCAACTTTAGATTTGGTTTGGGGTGCTGATTCAGAAAAATTGCATTGGATAGACCACATCAGCTCTAGTTTCTGATACAGAACATATGCCATCCAGTAGTTACCATCTACTCGCCCACAGAAAACCATACTTTATAATCTAGAGCTGATGTGGTCTATCCAATGCAATTTTCTGAATCAGCACCCCAAATAACCCCAGGAACAGGCCTAAAAGTGAAGACACCAAGGCACCCCCGCTTCCAGACACCACATGGAACAGCTCTGCTCAGGCGCAGGAGGAGGAAGAGAAGCAGCAGTCAGGAGGCTTGTTGTCACGCCTTTCATGGGTAGTCAGCCTCTCTCCTCATGACATCCCTGTTGCCTCAGCACTGCAATAGGGTTTCATGAGACCAGCCACTCTCAATTCAATGGTGTATTAATGGTGAGGCCATGGATCATATTTTAGATCTTGGGGACCACTGGTGGTCCATGGAAAACAGGTTGGGAACCACTGCTTTAAAGAAAGAATGGGAGAAATGGAAAGGAGGAATGTGAGAAATGTGGTCATATTTTTACTCAACCATCTCAAATTCTCAGGGCAAAACTATACATAGACCGGAATGCACCTATTCACTAATATTTGCATTCTGGTTATGTTTGCAATGCTGTTTGCAAAGTAAAAAATCTGAACAACAATAATATGTAAAAATCTTGAAGTCAAAATGTTTGCAGATGAAATGTGCTTACTCAACCGCATGTATTAGGAGAAGTGAACACAAACATATGTCAGAATGTTATCTGAACTAGAAATGAAACAAATTTAGAGTTGAAACAATTATGATGTTAAAAATCGATGAAATGAAACTAGAAATGAACTCCCTGGTAGCCTCCAGTCTGTAGAATTCTGGGAGAGCCACCAAATGAACTTCTGAGACAATCAAAGGATTTCCAATTAAGTTTCACCCTTCAATTCGCTAAACTTATTATTTACATATGCTTATGCATGCTTTCCAAACAGAGACCTAATAGGGGTGCTTGAATTGTGCTGTTGTACAATATCCAACCTTCACTCGTTAATTGATTTAATTTCCCCCCATCTTGTTTCCAATATCATTTCAATTTTTTTCCAGTTACAACTGATCTGAAAGGACCAGTCAGAATAATGTTCAAAGTGCTTCTGAAGGTTCTAGCAATGGGTTCAGAGGGGAGGTCACCTGGGTTAATCCTTTCACCACTCTCAACAGCAGGGAGGGCCTTCCCTAGGTAATTTTCAAGTGTAAGCAAACAGTATTTTGGCCCCCTCCCAACCAATCACTGAAAAATAAAAGGTAGAGGTAGAGGTGAATAAAAGAGTTACCTTACAACATTATGTTCATATAGCAACCTTGGCAAGACACATTTTCAGCCCTTGTTATTCCAAAGCTGACTGTTTCCCACTTTTTTTGTTTTGTTTTTGAAAGCCTGGATCATGAAATTGCTATAATTTTTTTTATGTCAGGAGTGACTTGAGAAACTGCAAGTCACTTCTGGTGTGAGAGAATTGGCTGCCTGCAAGGACGTTGCCCAGGAGGCATCTGGATGTTTGACCTCACAAACTCCGATGATGCCTGCCATAGATGCAGGCGAAACATCAGGAGAGTATGCTTCTGGAACATGGCCACACAGCCCAGAAAACACACAACAACCGAGCGATTCCAGCCATAAAAGCCTTTGACTATACAGGGCTGAAACCACTTTGAGGCCCAGATGGTGATGACACAAACCGGGCTGCTTTCTTTCTTTCACGTGTTTGCTTTTGTGGGTGTTTGTTGTTGTCTGTGGCCATGCAGTTTGAAGCTGGCTTTCATCAATGGCATTAAGCAGTCAGTGCAGATGGGGGCAGGTGGCAAAGATGCCTACAAGGAGCTGTGGCAGGGCCTTACTTTCTCCTCCAACTCAGGAAAATGAGCCACTTATCTTGATCACTAGGAAGCCAGCAGAGCTGTGTCTGCAGGCCAAATCTCTCTGCTCTGCTCTCGTCTAGCCTCCTCCTCTTCCTCCTCATTGCCTGCCTCTTGTTGTCTTTCAAAGCAGCCAAGCAGAGGAGGAGGAAGAGAAGGAGGAAGCCTCGCTTGCTGAGCCGTTGTTCACCTAAAATGGCGCACCTGGTCCTGGAGATCAAAGGTAGAGGGAGTGGGGCAGGAGGACGCCTTTGATCCGGAGGAAAGGCAGCAGGGAGGGAGGCAGAAAGCAAGCCAAAGCAGCGTTTCCCCTCCCGTTGTTGTTGTTTCCTTGGAGGGGTGCACCCGGGGGTGCCTCAGGAGTGCCCCTCGGGGATTCAAGCTATACACAAATGCGTATCTTGCCTATTGCTTCAGCCGCCCCTGACAGCAAGATATGAAATTGCAGGTGCAAAGTGTGCAAATAAGAAAGCTTTCTTCGCTGCACATATTGCCACCTTATTGGAGCAAATATGCCCTCTATACCATGTCTTGTCACATAAAAGTATAGTTTTCTGCCATCTGTGCTTTAGTCGTCATTCTTCTCATTTCATTTCATGTATACCAGAGACCCTCATTTGTAATAGGTTGGAGAGGACGTTTGGATAATCTGCATTTTATATGCCAGTGTAGATAGTGCCTTAGAAAGGGTGTGAAGAAAGGCTGGCCGAAAGTCACTGGTGGGGAAATTGTGGCCTTCTAAATGTTGCAGGGCCCAAATAAACCCCAGCCAGCACGGCTAATGGTCAGGGATGACAGAACTTAGTGAACTGCAGCTGAGGGGCTACTGATTTTCAGATTCATGTTAGTATACCAGTATGTATTTGCAGTGCTAGGCAATTCTTTAGTTACTTTGGTTCCAAATTCTAAAAGACTTTAGGATCAAAGTATACACATTGAATTAAATTTTGGGACAGACCAGAATATGTATCTTACATTTATACGTTTTGAAAGAGAGATTGAGAGAGACAATATAGACTATCATCTCCATGCAGAAAATTGAATTTCTTATTTTAAAAGTTGGCTTACATAACTAATGAAATCACTAATGTCCACTAATGACAGAATAACAATGTAATACATTTTCATTTGTAGTACTGTATAGAATGATTCCTAACAGGTTGTTGCTGTGTTTGATTGTCTTCCTTTTTTTAGGTGATAATTAGCACAAGTACAGGTGCTTGGACACTAAGCCGTGTTTTTGACAATGGCTACCCATGGGACATGGTGTTCCTTACTCGTTTTATGAACATAGTCCGAAATAGTCTTCCTGGCCGTATCACAGCATGGCTGGTTGCAAACCGAGCGAGCCAGTGGTTTGATCATGCCAACTATGGAATCATTCCAGAAGATAGGTACTTAACATAAATTATTGCATTAAAAACAACAAGTTATTTGTTTATCATAACAGGAGAGAATCAAGGGTACAGTTGTAATGTATTTGAAAAACACAAAGTTCTTTTTTTTAAAAAAACGTGGCATTATATTAAATGTTCTTTGACCAGTAGCTGGCCACTTGGAGTGCCTCTGGTGTTGCTAAAAGAAGGTCCTCCATTGTGCAGGTGGCAGGGCTCAGACTGCATTGTAATAGGTGGCCTGTGGTTTGCTCTTCTCCACACTCACATGTTATGGACACCACTTTGTGGTCTCATTTCTTAAGGTTGACTCTGCATCTTGTGGTGCCAGAGCACAGTTTGTTCAGCGCCTTCCAAATCCAGGGGGAATTTCTCATCTGGTATCAGCCACTGATTGAGGTTCTGGGTTTTTGCCTGCCACTTTTGGACTCTCGCTTGCTGAGGTGTTCCTGCAAGTATCTCTGTAGATCATAGAAAACTATTTCTTGATTTAAGGCATTGGCGTCTGACTGATATCTGAACAGAGGATGGGCCGGAGATGTCACTACCTTGGTCCTTTCACTATTGGCTGCTACTTCCAGCGGATGTCAAGTGGTGCAATACCGGCTAAACAATGTAATTTTTCCAATGGTGTAGGGCGCAGACAATGCAACACGTATCATTAAGAGCCACATCCACTGTTTTAGCATGGTGAGATATGTTCCACACTGGGCATGCATACCCAGCAGCAGAGTAGCAAAGCGTAAGAGCAACAGGTAGAAACATAGAATTTACAATACATTCTTGTAAAAGATGAAAGTATGTAAATTATAGTTGAAAATGAGTAGAATCTGAGCATTCACCATAGATTCAGTTCAACATACTTGGAAGGAAAATGTGTTTGCATAAAACAAAGGATGGGCTGGCCTAAGGAATATTTATGCTTTTGGAAATCCAACTCTCAGGCCTCTTCTAGACTGCCATATAATACAGATTATCAAAGCAGATAATCCACATTATCTACTTTGAACTGCATTTCATGAGTCTACACTGCCATATAATGCAGTTCAAAGCAGATAATCTGGATTTTACATAGCAGTGTAGAAGGGGCCTCAGGACCCTTCCACGCTTCCTTTTATCCCAGGATCTGATCCTAGATTATCTACTTTAAACTGGAATATCTGAGTCCCCACTGCCAGATAACCGGAGATAAACAGATAATTTGGGATCAGATCCCAGGATAAAGGGGCAGTGTGGCAGTGCCCTCTGTGTATTTACTGAAGTACCTGGCAATGAATAAAGTAATCTAAATGTCTTAATCCTTCCTCTTAGATTTGTGATGAGAGAGCCAGTCTTAAATGATGAGCTGCCTGCTTGCATCCTCACTGGGAAGATCACTATTAGACCTGAAGTGAAGACGTTTAAAGAAAATGCTGTTATATTTGCAAATACTCCCGAGGCAGAAGATGTGGATGTTGTTGTCTTTGCCACTGGATACAAGGCTTCATTTCCTTTCATTGATGAGTCTGTCATCAAAGTTGAAAATAAGCATGCTTCATTGTACAAATACATCTTCCCTCCTCATTTGGAGAAACCAACACTTGCCCTTATCGGGTTCTTCAAGCCATTAGGACCAGTCATACCAGCAGTGGAAATCCAGGCACGCTGGGTCACTCGTGTCTTTAATGGTATGTAAGATGAGACAGAGCACTCCAAAGGTCTAAGTGCACATTTAGGAAGTGACACTGGTGGGCATGACTTACAGTTGACATTGCTACCTTAGAAAAGTGCTCTTAAGAATGAATATAAGCCGGTCTGTAAGCCGATCTGAGTCCCTCTACGGAGGTGAGAAGATCGGGATATAAAAGTTTTAAATAAATAAATAATAAATATAATAATTGCATATAGAAATCATGATTCTGGGTCTTAAGAGTATCAAGTGGTATTATTATAACTAAAACTAGCCAGTTGTCTACATTTAAAAAAAATCATACCCATCTCTATTCTGATACTATAAGAACACCTGAAAGTGAAGACACTACTTTTAGGCTTTATTTATGTATTCATTTTGCTGGTTTTATCGCAGAGTGGGACCTATGATGGCTTCCAAAATAATTAAAAGCTCACATTAAATTCCAAAAACAAAAGATATATTAAAAATAACACGTGTTTAAAACATATGCAAGATGAGAAAGCCTAAAATAAACCCTCAGATACATGAAAAAAGTCAGGCTGAATAGGAACGCCTTCATCTTCCAATGCAAAGAAAGTTGGAAGGGGGGGGGGGGCAGCCTAGCCTCTCGGTCTCCATCTGCACTGCCATATACAATTCAGATTATCTGATTTGAACTGGATTATATGACAGTATGGACTCATATAATCCAATTCAAAGCAAATAATGTGGATTAATTATTGGCAAGCTGAAACATTTTTCTTCAGACAGGCTTTAAAAATGGAGGTTTTTCAGATCAAGTTAGGGGGTGCTGTGGTTTCTAACTCTGAATATGTTTTAATGGCTAATAACTGATTTTTTTTAAAAGTTTATATTTAATTCTGTTTTAATGTTTGCATATTTGCGTTAAATTGTATGCCAATGCTTCCTAGCAATAGAGTAACATCCAAAACTTGGAGGCCTGAAAGCTTAGCACAGTATATCTAAAAAACTGATTGAACTTTACTGTGCTCCCTGCTGCATCATTGGGGATCTTGTGCAATTTGGGTTGACAATTAAGATATTTTTTCGCACTTAAAATACCACTGCAAACAGCCACTGAGCCTCATTTATATATGAACAAACTGTTCTTCTGTTTGAAGACATCTTCTAAAAGTTGTTCTTTGTGCGTGGGTTTGGCTTGGTTTTCATTTTTTATTTTCATCTTCTAGGCTTATGTAAATTGCCTCCAGTGAACATAATGGTGAAGGAGGTCAATGAAATTAAGAAAAACAAGAAAAAGTGGTAAGTCTTTATAAAACCAAGACAAATCCTCAGTAATTAGGTTAGGGTTGTCAGCTGATAATAAAGAAACCATACAACTTTGACTCTATGCCTTCAGTGTTTTGAAGATATTTAGAAAATAGTCTCATTTGTGCCAGAGCATTTGATCAGCTACTCATTATTTGACGCTTCACATCATGCCATAACCAAGGAAATAATTAGGAAGGTCAGAAACAGACTCAGCTGTATTTGCTGTGAAATTTAGGATTTTAGAATTTATACTGTTATTTTTTTATGGTGTTGATCCTCAAACTTGTGACACTTGAAATAAGGAGATGCTCTGGAAATTGGGGATTATTCAGGCCCCTTCTACACTGCCATATAAAATCAAGGTTATCTGCTCTGAGCTAGATTAAATGACAGTGTAGATAATCCAGTTCAAAACAGATAATGTGGATTATTTGCTCTGGTAATCTGGATTATATGCGGGGGCGGCTCAACCCATTACGCAAAGTAAGCATTCACAGTATAGTTGATTTTGCCCAGGGGCGCTCTTGCTTGGGGGAAAATAGACCTTGACATATGCGAGTTGTAGTTACTGGGATTTATAGTTCACCTACAATCAAAGAGCATTCTGAACTCCACCAATGATGGAATTGAACCAAATATGGCACACAGAACTCCCACGATGAACAGAAAATATATATCAATTATTGGATATGGG